CGCGGGAGTGACTAGAGCCGAAGCGCGCGAAACGCGCGCGTGGTTCGAGTAGATCTATACATACAGACGTACGAAGGAGCGTGTGCTGTGGGTGCTTGGAGGCGGGGGCGGGGGTCGGAACCGCCCCCCCCCCTCCCGCAAGAGGGTGGTCGCCCCCTATTTTCTATTATGTGTACATATATATATATATATATATATGTGTGCATGCATGCATGTACGCATGTATGGTTGTTATGTGATGTGATGGTATGTTTTGTTATGTTAAATATTGTTATGTTATGTAACGTTATATTATGTATGTATGTCTTTTATATTTCTATACATAGATTGCCCCAAGCTAGGCCTAAGCCCAGCCCACGACCCTGCCAAAGTGATGCCGGACCGCAGCTTTGGCTATGTTGTGGGATCGGCCGCTTCGTGGCGCAGCTCGGCGAAGCTCTCCATGGCTGGCGGCAGCCGCCGGCGGTGCCGAAGCGCACAATCCTTGCGTCGAGGGTGGTGCTGGCCTGGTAAGGCGAAGAAGAAAACAAGGCATTCACATAAACTTTTGGCGCTCCGCGCTGATTATTTGGATCCGCCCTGGGCCCCCGTGGCGGCGCCTCCGGCGCCGCCCCTAGCGCGCTCCGCGCGCCAGGGAGCGGGCTCCAGCGCAGATCCAAGAAATCTGCGCGGAGCGCCAAAATCTTATGCTATGGCGTTGTTCTTCTTCTAGAAGCACACAATCCTTGCGTCGAAGGTGGCGCTGGCCTGATAAGTGTGCAAGACAGCGGGCGCGCTGTACAAAGTCAGTCTGGCAGCATGGACAGGCGGCGGAAGGCAAGAACTCGCGAATTATGCTTGTTTATTCAGGTGTTTCACTCTCGCGTGAGGCTCATGCACACGCGAAGGCGCGACGGCGCAATCGCACTATGGACACCTCAAACGGGCGCATGGCGCAAAAGCCAGACGCGTCCTTCTGACGATCACAGACTCAATCCTTGTGAAAAATGATGAGCCGAGGGCTGCAACAGTCTGTCGTGCAAAACTGAGGTGCATCAAAGAGGCGAGGCCAGTCACTAATCGCAAAGACGTTCCGAACAATGTCCGCGTCCTTGGCCAGCTGGGCAACCCGTGGCAAGTGGCCAGATGCACCGCCAACCCGAAGATGAATGAGAGCCAGGAGCTGAGCCAGGCGATCTCGGCACACTCTATTTACGAATTTGTGTATATATATTTGTATATGTATCACATTGTAGCCGCAGACGCGTGCCTTGGATGATCAGGATCTCCACAAAGGAAACATCGTGTTCTGGGCAATCGAAACAGGAGGAGTTGTGCACTTGGGTCGATGAGGAGGTGGCGGATGAGCAGGAGGATGGGCAGGGGTCCCGAGGGGGAAGGAGCCCAGAGGTTCTTGTCAAGGAGAGCTATATGGCATGAGCCTGAACTCTCGGAGCTCCTCGCGTGTCTCTTGGCTCGGAGCTGGCCCCCCCGCTTGCCGCCTGCGGCGCCGCCCCTGGCGCGCTCCGCGCGCCAGGCCGGGTGGCGGGGCGCCCAGCGCGATCCAAGAAATCCGCGCGGACCTCCGAAGGTTTGTGTTTCTGCAGCTTGTTGTCCCTCCGTTTTCGCAGTGCTTGGCCTCCTCTGGCCCCTCCGAGGGCCCTGGGACCCGAAAAGCGGCTCGGGATGAAGAATTGACCTTGGGGGCGCCGTGGGGGAAAGCGTGACGTTCCCACACCAAAAATCGACGGACGTCCTGGGGTCTCAGGTTTGGGTTTCTCGTGTAAAGTTTCTCGTGGATTGCCCTACATTGTACTACATACCCGAAGCCACAGGGGGTTTCTCAGAAGGCGCGGGGGCTTCTGAGAAGCCCTGCCTCCTTCCGAGAAGGCTTGCCCCCTTTCGCTTCCCCCCAGAGGAGGAAGGAGGAGGAGGAGGAGGAGCAGTTGGAGGAGGAGGAGGAGGAGGAGCAGTTGGAGGAGGAAGAGGAGGAGGAGGAGGAGGAGCAGTTGGAGGAGGAGAAGGAGGAGGGCTCGCCGCCAACCAAGGATCGGAAGGGGCTTCTGGATGAGTTCGCCCCGCTCGGCCCGCCTCGCTTGGGGGGCCCCATATGCCTCGGCGCGCCCTCCCTTGGGGCCCCATGCCTCGGCGCTTCCTCCCTTGGGGCCCCATGCCCCTCCTCCTCCTCCTCCCCTCCTCCTCCTCCTCCTCCTTCCTCCTTCCTCCTCCTCCTCCTCCTCCTCCTCCTCCTCACGCCCCCCCTCCTCGCCCCCCCTGCCTCCCTCCTGCCCTCCTCCTCCTCCTCCTCCTCCTCATTTTCCTCCCTGCCTCCCTACTTCCCTCCTCCCCTCCCTCTCCCCTCCTGCTCCCCCTCCCCCTCCCGTCGGTGCCGCATCTCTGAGGAGTTGATGACGGGAGTCGGCTTCGTGCGACCCGAATGGGGTAGGCTGGGTCATCCCCCAGGGCGCAAAGGTATCATGTCGCTTCGCGCGTCGCAGCCTGGACCAGCGAGCTGCCCGCCTCAGGTAACCCAGGTCATCACGACAGATCTTTTCTTCGTTACGGTGTTCGGCCTCTGGGAGCCATCACGGGGCCCGGGAAAGTTACAGGAAGCGGCTCGCGACGTCGTCCCTGGCACCCACCAGCTTCTCGCTGAGAAGCCGTTCCCCGGGAGGTGCCCCCAGGTCATCCACGATTGAAATTTTCGGAAACGAAGTTCGGTCGCGTCAAATTTCGGTCGACAAAGGAGGGGCTCGCATTCCGGTAACGAAGAGACGGCGCGTCGGGGTCCGAGCGAGGGTTTCGAAGACGTCCACGGCTCGCTCATGATCGGAAGTCGTGACTTGAGGTCGGATTTCGGTCGCGACCAGTTCGTCCGGCGCGTTACCCGAAGTGTTCGGTAACGTATGGTTTGGGTTGAAGTTTTTGGGGCTTCGGGGCCGTCACGGCGGCGGTGGTGCGGGGGTCAGCGTTGATGGGGGTCGGCGGATTCTCGACTCGAGCGAACGAGTATCGGCCCAGCACGTGAACACCCTCCAATCTTAGTATTATCCTGGTGCTCGAAGTTCTTTCTGGTGATCATGGCTGAGGTAGGTCGGAACACCATAAACCCAGGTCCGCGGATAGGGGTCGGGTGCCACGAAGAGGGGGGGCGGCGCAGAGCTTGCCCCCGCCCCGCGCATGGTTCAGCTTCGCGCGTGTGTTATCTCGCAGGAGGGCCCGAAATGCTCCCCGAAGGTCCTCGCCGAATTAAAAAAAGAACACGCCCGAGCGATGCCAAAAGAGGAAGAGGAGGGCCATCCCATATTGTGGCTCGGTGCAGGTGCGCGTCCTCCTCCTCCTCCTCCTCCTCCTCCTCCTCCTATTCCTCCTCCTCCTCTTGATCAATTTAGCCGGCGCAGCGTGTCACCCATTGCTGTCTGTGCCCACGCGCCCACGCGCCGGACAGCGTATGGCTCGCGCGTGCGTGAATGAGAGTGAGGCGGAACGCCCTCAGAGCGTTCCGGAACGCTCCGAGCAGGCCGCGGCGCCCAGGACATTTTCCGGAGCCGCCGGATCTCAGAGCTTCTCGATTCATCCTCACCCGATGTCATCCTCGTCCCGGCTCCGCCTTCCTCCTCCTTGGGTGCAGGAGCATCGAGGTTCAAAGACAGCAGAGGTCGAGGTCGCAGCACAAGCCACAGCCCGGCCCCTCCGCGCAAGTCTTCTGCGGCGTGCTTCTCGCGCCAGGTCGGCAGTCGCGAGAGGGCCACGGAGCCCGAGAGGGGGCTCGTCGAGAGCGCGCGGTGGGAAAGAAAACTTTTGCGGCGCGCGGGTCTCGGGGTGGAGGGAAGGAGGATCGATCGGGGGTGGACAGACCTCCCACCTTGACACGTCGATTAGCGAATTGACTTTATTTGGTTCGCGAGAGGGCGTCGCGGCCGTCATTTTTGCGGGTCCAGGTCCGTTGGTTTCGGTCCCAGGCCGTTTTCACTAAAGCGTGGTTTACCAAAGGGAGCTTTGTCCACCGCCGAATCGAGGATCCAAGGCAAGGGAGGAAGCAGCACCCCGACCCCGAGAATTGGCGTCTCCTACACGGCCATGGGCGCTTGCCGAGCAGCTTTGCGTGCATTGGCCACACGGCTTCGCCTGTCGGGGTGCCTCTTCTCGGGGGCGGGTGTTCTGCCCTCTGCCATGGCCACAGGCAGGCTGGCGGGCTGGCGGGGCCTGCATGCCCAACGGGGTTGGGCGAGGTCGGCTGCACGCGCGTGCAGAGCACAGCCTGCCGAGCGGCGGCCCCGATGAGAGCCCCGCGCTGGTGCGGACTGTCTCTGCCTCGCCGCCGACGGAAAATGAATTTGGTATAGCCAGGACCCTAGGGAAGGGGACCCGGTTAGTGGTAGGGCCCCGGAGCCCCTACATTGGCCAGAATCACTAAACCAGGTTTGCCATAGCAGGTGATTTTTCGGGTGACGGCAGTTCAGGTTAGCGGAACGGGGTGGGGGGCCGTCCCTCAGTACGCATGACTAAACCAGGTCCCACTAAACCCAGTTCTGCCAACGCCCGAACGAAGGTGCAGAGCAAAGTGCAGCAGAGAGGCTGAGCTAAGGACCCTGGGCCCGAGGAACGGCCCGAAGACCCTCCTCCTCCTCCTCCTCTCCTCCTCCTCCTCCTCCTCCTCCTCCTCCTCCTCCTCCTCCTCCTCCTCCTCCTCCTCCTCCTCCTCCTCCTCCTCCTCCTCCTCCTCCTCTTTGGGGTTCCCCGAGGGGCCCTGGGGTCTTTTCCAGCCGTTCCCGGTCTCCGGGTCGGGGCATCGATTTTCGTGGTCGCGGCTCGCCGTGGGCAGCAACGACCATCCGTTGTGTTCTTGCGCTCCTCCTGGGATCTCGCGGTGGCTGCACGTGTACGTGGCCATCGAGCTCCTGCACATGGGGGTACGGGCGTATGAGCATGCAGTGAGAAAGGGAGAGAGAGAGAGAGAGAGAGAAAGAGAGAAACCAAAAAACAGCAAACATAGAGAGAGAGAGAGAGAGCCTCGGCAGGCTCCGAGAAGCTGCCGGCATGGGTACCAGGACCCCAGCCGGAAGGGCGGCGGTGCTAAGCCAGTGAGGTATGTAGGAGGGAGCAGTCGTCCAGTCCAATATGTCGCAGCCGCTCTCCTCACGCCGTTCTGCAGAATTCGAGTCAGTGGTGCTAGCGGGTTCGAGCTTTCCCATTATGTTCATGGCCGCATGATCGCACATGGCTTCACACATTGAGCCCCCTCCTCTGAATACATAGGCTCGGCTATTATCGTCTTCCGAGTTTGGCCTCACATGCTAACATCTATCAGTGCGCACATGTTGGCCGAATCGCATGATCTGTCAGACGTTCGTGCCTTCATCCAAAGCACGTCGCTCTCAGATCGACGTACTTGCTCGTAGCCTTGTCCGTAGCGAAAGTAGATTGCTGAATGTGTGAGTGATGTCAATCTGCGCATACCAATCTCGTTTCTTCCATCCCGTCGAGGTGGTATGTTGTCGAGCCAACCTGTGTTGGCTCGTGGTGATATATCGTCGAGGTCTAAAGTACGCAGATCCAGTTTGTAACTGAGTCCAAAGTCGACGTGATCACGTTCGTTTGCTTGTTTCACATTTCACTTGGAGAGATGTTGAGTCGAGCACTTGAGCATCATTGCAGCATGCCCACAGGTCGAATACAACAATGCTTTGAAAAGTTGTGGACCACACTGGACCTGGATCTCATGTGGAACGTTGGCTTGTATTGTGGATCTTGTGTGGGCATCGGGGGGCATCGGGGGGATCTGATTTCCCTCATTGAGTTTCAGGGCGAGTTCGACTCAAATGTATCATCGTAACTGTCCTGCATGCCGGTTTAAAACCTCGCAGAGGACAACACGTCAGCGATGAATACATCAATTGCAGATACGTAATGCGGATACGGAATGTTCGCTGGCAAGTGGAGGAGCGGGGCAAGGAGAGAGAGGGGGGGGGGACGGGGCGGCGACGGGATGCGGGAGCGGGAGGGGTATGGAGGAGGAGGAGGGATCCGAGAGGGAAGGCGATAGCCTCGGTCGCATGGCCCCTCCAGACCCCCGAAGAGTACTTACCCGCGGGCGACCCGTGTGTACCGTGCCGCGTGGGCGTCCCAGGAGGCGTCGTCGATCCTCGACCCGGGCAGGGTGCGGAGCACACTCTGCCGGCCCGCAGGGCCGAAGAGCTGTAGAACCGCGCTGGGGCGGGCCCCGAACTTCAGGAGGGAATCCAAGCGTGGTGCGGTGCGTACCGTCGGCCCAGATTAGCAGGTCGACCCTGCCAAATCAAGGGTACCCTTGTGTCCTGTCTCTTGCGACCCATGCCTCCTACATTCCTGTGGCGATGTGGCCCTCGGAGGGGTCTTGTGTCCTCTCGCGTGTCCTGTCCAATCAAGTCCGATGGTAGGCGCCGTTCTCGCGAGTAACAGATTCGCAGTGCGTCTCCCGAGTGAGGGTAAAAGCAGGCAGCGGCGCGCTCCGCGCCCAGCTGCCCCGAGCTGGCCGGCGGACGCGGCAGGGCACGAGGCGGGCCGTCGCCTGCCAACCTGCTTCTCGGCGGCGAGCGAGGGGGGGAAACGAGAGGGAGAAGGCCTTCTTAGAAGGCGGCGGGACTTCTCAGAAGCCCTCGCGCCTTCTGAGAAGTGCTTCTTTGTCTTCGGGGAAGGCTTAGAAGACTTCTCAGAAGGCGGGGGGACTTCCAAGCATTCTGAGAAGGCCTTCTTCTTCTCACTTCCCCCCCTCTCTCGCCGCCAGGCTTTTGAATCTGGTGGGGGTCCGATCGTGAGCACCTTTGGGCACACTGGGCAGGGCCCGCGTGCGAACTCGCCCGCTGCGGCCACAGGTGGAGCTCCCCAGGGGGGCACGCTCCTTGCGAGGGGGGTGTGCAGGAGGGGTCCAGCACTGGCCGGCAGACACGTGCCTTGCTGTGTGCCTTGCGCGGGTGATGGGAGGACGCGTTTCTCTCCACCGTCCTGTTTTCTCTGTTGTCGGCGTACTCGGCCAGGACTGCCAGACTCGATGCACAATGAGGCGGGGCCTTTTTCATATTCCGAGGAATATGTATCACAGTAGGTGAAGGGCGGGGGGGAGAGAGAGAGAGAGAGAGAGAGAGAGAGAGAGAGAGAGAGAGAGAGAGAGAGAAAGAGAGACAGAGAGAGAGAGAGAGAGAGCGCGAGAGAGAGAGTGAGAGAGCAATCAATTGAGGGAGAGAGATATAGTGAGAGAATGAGATGGGAAAGAGAGAGAGAGAGAGAGATAGACAGAGAGAGAGAGAGAGAGAGAGCGAGAGAGAGGGGGGGAACAGCGTGCATGCGTGTGCGCGTTTCGTTTGAAAGTGACCTGGTGCCAGGGCGGCCAGTTTCTGGGTTTCACGCACGTGTATTCCTCTTCCTATAGTTGTACAAGCCCGAGGGGGGGGAGGGGGGGGGGGGGGGGGAAACCCTCCCCACCAAAAAAAACTTGACCCCCCGGATCTGGGATTCTCGGGCTCCCTTGGACGTCCTTGGAAA